AGGACAAATTATCGGGTACATGACCTACCCACGACCATGATAATTCAGCTAAAATTAGCTTTGCACCTCCAGTGGGCCAGTTATCAGTTTGCATTCACCTCCGAGATGGTGGCTAGCGAATATGCTATTAACTTGTCTATCCAAACCCACGTAATAAAGGTGAGAGATATAAAGAAAGAAAGAAAGAAAGAAAGAAAGAAAGAAAGAAAGAAAGAAAGAAAGAAAGAAAGAAAGAAAGAAAGAAAGAGAGAAAGAGATAGAGAGAGTAAGAGAGAACCTGATGAGTAGTATGATGTACGCACAGTTTTCACAATGTACCCACACAAACGTGTTGAATGTAACTAGAAAGAGGGAACAACAAAAAATGATAATGCATCAAGGTTACTCAAAATCTCCTTTGCTTGGGCAGAGAGAGGATAGATATTTTTTGCATAGAAATAAGAAGTTGCGGAATGGGAAGTAAGGAAAACGCGAAAGCATATAAACACGAACAGACCAGCTGGAACATGTTTAATGGCCAGATCTGATGAAAGGATGAATAGAGGAAAAATTGTCAACAGACAAAGAGAGCATGAAGATGTGTATTGGGAATGGAAAAGAAGAAAGCACGCGAGAGAGAGAGAGAGAGAGCAGAAGAGGAAGATGCAAACTGTTTAGGGATGGGAAAGTAGCAGTAGTCGGTTCTATGTATCTGAGACTGGAGGGGAAACCGCCCGTCTGTCAGTGGGACGGCGTAGCCAAATGATAATAATAATCATGATAATGCATGGCCTCATAAACGGTTGGTGCATACGTAACCGTAGTTTGGGCATCGGTTTCCACAGGAGCCCTCAGCCCGCCAGGTACTAAATAATTAATAGCCATAGAGCCATCCTCTGGCCTGAAACGAGAACATCACAATTCTACAGATTTGGTGGAGACGGTCAAAACTGCGGCATAATGCCAACGCAAACCGATAAAAAGAATGGGGGAGGATAGAAGACAAGCTATTTTAATGTTTTGGCCATTCTCATCTTGAGCCCAATTCACTTTAGACTGTCGCACTGCCCCATTTCACACATTTCCCACAGCAACTTGGCAGGCAAGAAAGCCAGACTGGAGCTTCAGAATACCACTGGACTCTCAGTGCCTCCAGTTCTGCAAGATGAGGTTTAGACTACTCACTTACGAAAAAGTAGTGTCGTCAATCGCTATAGCAAATGTAACTTTGCTTCATCGATAATACCAACACATAATGCGATGTGAAAAATGCTTTACATGCCTTGAAATGCTTATCTGCATTTTGGGAAAATTCAACTACAAGTCCTCCATCAACTTTAATCAAATAGGGTGAATACAACTCATAGATCTGATTTACTGGTAGTCTCGAAAACCTACTCATCTTATACATTTTACCAGAAGTAGAGTGGTTGAGTCGTGTAAAAATACGCACAAACATAGGCGCACACAGACTCCTGAATCAACATGATTCGAAAAAGACAAAATATAGTATAATGTTGGTATGACAATGTTTTGACAACTTGGTCGGATCGTCGGGGAGACCTAGTGGAATGTATTTCGTCCCGTGTCCTGCGTCATAGTGTTCGTGTTTTTCCGCTTCCGACGTTGCGTCGGCATCGTCATTGAGAGACGCCATCGTGAGTGCAGAGTTTCAACTTATCAAATTGACAAGTCAAGACAGTCGTCTTGAAAAGGTTTCTGTTCGACCGTTGCGGCATCACTCCTCGCCTC